GGGGAAACTGGTTGTGATTATGCTTTGTTTATTTATATTTATAAAAATAGTGTGTGACTTTTGTTGGAAATTCAGTAGAGTACAAAGTAGAAAATAAAGGTCATTTGTGATCCTTCTACTCAGTGAAAAATACTATTAACATTTTACTATTTTGTTTCAGCCTTTTTCTCATGCATTTTTATCACATTAGATGAAGATAAAATAGCTTTCTTACTTACCCCACTAAATACTATTTTAAGTTTCCCTCTTAATATAATAAGTCATTAAGAACTCCCCATAAATATATTTTAATGGTTTTGTTAGAATTTGCTTGTTGAATGTACTGTATTTTGTTTAACTGTTCTCCCGAAGTTAAGCTTTTTGTGTATTTCCAGTTTTTGTCAATTAAAAATGGTATACTAACATTTTTTTCTACTTTATTCCTATATCTGTATTTTCAGTTATTTCCCCAGGATTAATCAAATCTTGGAAGTAGAATTAGTAGATGAATATTAGTATTTTTGGCGATTTGGTAAACACTTGATAAACTATGCTTTCCTGAAAGATTATGAAGTTCATAATCTCATCAGGAGATCGTCCAATTAATTTTTTCATTTCAGCAGTATTCAAGATTTTGTTGACTCTTTCAGTTTGAGGGCAGAAATATATCTCATTCTTTATACTCAAATTTCTTTCTCTTTCTTTTTTTAATATATTATCTTTTAAATTAGATTATAATTGCTTTACAATGTTGTGTTAGTTCTGACTGTGCAGCAACACAAATCAATTATATGTGTACATTTATGCTTTCCCTCTTGAGCCTCCCTCCCACCCCACCCCCTATCTACCCCTTTAGGTCATCACGGGACACCCAGCTGAGCTCTCTGACCCCTATAGGAGCTTCCAGCTAGCTATCTAGTTTACCCATGGTAGTATATATATATATGTCTGTTCTCACATTTCTTCGGTTCTTACTGAGGGTGAACTGTTTTCATTGGCTTGTTACCCTTTCTCTTTGAATTAACCATTTGCATTTGCTATTCATTTATCTGTTAGGATCTTAGTGTAGTGTTTTGTTTCTATTTGAATTTCCTTGAACTTTTTATTGTATTAATTTTTTGTCATGTTTATGTTCTTAGGATAGTAATATATACCTTTTCATATTTAAATTTCATGATGTTTTCCTTTGTAATTTTTCCCATTGCTGAAATTTAAGAAGTACTTTTCAGTCTAAAGACAAGAGAGAGATTTACCAAGGATATCTTTTCTTCTTCTCTTTGTGGGGTGATTCTTTTTATAATTAATTCTAACCTGTAGAGTTCAGAGTTTAATTTGAAATAAATGTCAGGTTTGGGTAGATTTCCTCCTGCAAAGCTAGCTAATCATCTTATTATTTTTTTGTTCTTTCCATTTTGTCATGCCACACTTAGCATTTATTACGTTTTTGTCACAGTAGGCCATCAGGGTAAGAGAGTATTTTGAAATTTCCTTCTCAGTCTTTCCCTCTCTTCACCTAATCTTTTGAGGATTTGCTCGTTTGGAATTTTTATGTACTACTCTGCTCCCCTTTTGGCTCTGTTTTTCCCCTTCTGTTTTTAATTTGCATTTTTGCCCTTTTCAGAATTTTCAAAAAATTAGTCCGCATGTGAGTTCTTAAAGGCAGCTGCACTGTTACATTCATCATTGTATTCCCTGTAGCCCTTATTGAATTTTTAAAGCAATAACATTAAAGCAAGCTCTTCTAGAAAACTTGGGAGATAAGAAAAAGCATAAAGAAGAAAATGAATTAGTCTTACCACTCAAAGATACCCTGATACTGTTAAACATACTCTGTACTTAGTCCCTCAGTGGTGCCTGACTCTTTGTGGCCCCGTGGACCTCAGCCAGCCAGGCTGCTCTGTTCACGGAATTCTCCAGGCAGGACTAGAGTGGGTCGCCATGCCCTCCTCCAGGGGATCTTCCCAGCCCAAGGATCCGACCCAGGTCTGCCACATTGCAGCCCACATCTGAGCCGCCAGGGAAGCCCAAGAATACTGGAGTGGGTAACCTGTCCCTATTCCAGGGGATCTTCCTGACCCAGGAATCAAACTGGGGTCTCCCGCATTGCAGGCAAATTCTTTACCAACTTAGCTACCAGAAAAGCCCAGGAACTTGATAGTATTTGTAGTAGTTTTTTTTTTTGTGTGTGTGAGTATGCTTGAAACATTCATATATATGTGTATAAATTTATTTTTTACTAAATGGGAGCATCCTGTACATACTGTTTTGTTGTGTACTTTTTACTTGTAATAATTCCATGTTTTTTAAACATTCCTTTATGACTTTAAATATATTTTTTGACTTCCCTTCCCATTATTTGGGTATATACGAAATAAAATATTTTATGTGAAAGAAAATGCTCTTCTTTCAAAGAGATTGAATTTCAGAGTGATAATACGGCCAGTACATCTGTTATCTCTGTTGCAATGCAAATATATGTATGTGTGAGCCACTGCAGAATTGCTTTGTGTAGGTTGAATAAGTAAAATTGAAGAAGAGAAATAGGTGGTACGTTAGATGTTTTCTAGGGAGCCTAAATGGTTTTGGCCACTTGACATCTTATTAAGTGGGCAGCATTACAGATCCAGGGTCTGAGCTATAGCTAAGTTAACTCAGAAGGAAGAAGGAATTCAGAATTTTGGGAGCAGGAGACGTTAGTTAGATGCCAGATCAAATTTGTGAAGTCGATGTTTGTAAAGTTGGTGCAGTTAGAAGTCAAAGGGGGTAGACGTGTATCTAAATTGGTTATAGCCAAAAGAGGAGTTTAAGGCATGTCAACCTAAGACCAGAGGGCACAAGAGAGATGGAAGGGAAAACTGTGACAAACATGAATCTGGTTAATAGAGATGATGTTCTATTAGATGAGGCTTAGTAGAGATGAGGCACCAGAGGTGGGTAGTGATGACAGTCAAATTTAACCCTTTAAATTTGCTCCTTTATGTGGAAGCAACTCTATCACCCATAGCTTTAAATAACTGCAGAACTAAGCAGCATGACTTTATTTTGGGGAGTCCTCAGATGTGTGTGGTTTGTATCCCCAAATTCCCATGCTCGAGTAAAGGTTAAAATATTGAGGGTGCCTTTGTTGGACTGTAGCGTGGGAGACTAGGGGAAAGGAATGCAAAATCCCAGAGAATTTTGAGAAGTAGTGAAGCTACCGGGACTTCTGGGAGTTGTCTTTGGGAAAGTGAAGTGAAATTTGCTCAGTTGTGCCCGACTCTTTGCAACCCCATGGACTTCTCCAGGCCAGAATACTGGAGTGGGTAGCCTTTCCCTTCTCCAGGGGATCTTCCCAACCCAGGGACCGAACCGGGGTCTCCTGCAATGCAGGTGGATTCTTTACCATCTGAGCTATCAGGGGAGCAAAGACCTCCTCATTCCTGCTCCTTTCCATGGGGACTCAGAAGAGAGCCCCAGATCTTCCCTAACAAACCAGTATGGTTGGAGCAGAAGGTCCAGGGGAGCAGTAATGAGAAGGAATGCTAGGCAGAGTGCTTCAACTGGGGGAAAAAGGCCTTCAGTCATAGGGAGACTTAGGAGTTGGGCTTCATCTTGGAAGTATTAAGTTTGCATTGAGAAAGGCGGTATACCCACTTGTATCTTTACAACTCTTTTTTTCACATGTGCTACAAAGAAAAGTTGTTTTTCTTTTTCAAATCATGTGTATTCCAGTCAAATAGTTTGAAAAACAGATTATTATAATGCAAATTTTACTTTTAGTTGATTTTCATTTATAAAATTGACAGTGTTTTTACTAAAATTCACTCAGAGTTGAAAACTTTCAGAAGAAGAAATAATTAGCCAATTAGCTCTCTGCTTTCCGATAGTCAGTCTCACAAGTTCATGCCCTTTTTCTTTTGGCTTAGATATTTACCTTGTTTTGTGAAACTTGAACAAGATATTATACCCACCATGTGGGCCCCTGTTGAACATACTGATTGATGTATGTTAGCTTGAAAAATCCTTGTGTTCAGTGCTTTATCCTCTATGTAAGAATTAGTATATGATTTAAAATGTGAAATATCTTGTGAAGAGTATGCTCCATGAGAAAAGCAATCTTTTCGGTTTTTCTACCAGTAAATTCCCAGCACCAGGCACAGAACTCGACTCAACAGAGGTACAGAATAAATAGTTGTTGACTGGGAATAAAAATGTATGGGTGATTTCTAAGATTTTTTTGGAGTTTTGGTATTCTATCATTTCCATATCATGGTACTCCTATGTCTGTCCTCGAAGTTATCCTGTATTAAATTAAAGTTCCCAAGTGGTGTTAGTAGTAAAGAACCTGTCTGGCAAAGCAGGAGACATAAGAGACACGGGGTTCAGTCCTTGGGTTGGGAAGATCACCTGGAGGAGGGCATGGCAACCCACTCCAACATACTTGCCTGGAGAAACCCCTTGGACAGAGGAGCCTGGCGGGCTATAGTCCATGACATCACAAAGAGTTGGACCCGACTGAGGCGAGTTGGCACACACAGCACAATATAGTATGTGGGAAAATCTGGTGACATTGGTTAAAATGACTGGAAATACTATGTTGGAATTCGTAGATTACTACTGAATATTCCATTGACATTTGTGATGTTTATGAATTGTCCAGTTTGCATGCACACAGTTTCCTTACTAGCTTATTTATTATGCATTTACAAAAAACAGGCAAAATGTTGATTTTTTTCTTTTCATGAGTGGAGCTGGGTGTAAACTAGCTGGGAGGAGCAGTGCTAGTTGAGGTTTCTGTGGTTAGCAGATGGCAAGAGTTGTTTGCTAGTTCAGTGGCTCCTTCCTGCCCACTGGCTTTGTGGCTCATGCTCTTCCTATTTCTTCCTTAGGTGACCAGCCTTACCTTTTTTATGAGCTTTAAGGGGTTTCTTGAAAGGGTTCAATTTGTGACTACTCAGAGACTACCATAATAATTAGAATACAGAGTTTTAAAAACTCACCATGTGCTTTATACTGTTTTCTGTTTTCTTTGGTTTTACTAGGTAAAAAAGCTCCCATTTTGTTTAATAAAGAAATGATCGAGTCCATGAAGGAAGGTTCAGTTGTTGTGGATTTAGCTGCTGAGGCTGGCGGAAACTTTGAAACCACCAAGCCAGGAGAACTGTATGTTCATAAGGTATAGCTCAGAGCTTCCTCTTGCTATGATCCTGATCCTTCACCTTTAGTGATTTGTGAGAGGGTGTTTGTTGGTTTAAATATTTAGAGAAACTGAGGCCGGAAATTTTCCAAAATTAAAAATAGTCACATTTAAAACTCTTTTTGAAATATGTATTTGTATGTATATAAAGATGTATAATTTCAAAACTTAGCCTTGGCTGAGAATTGTCCTGGAAAGAATGTGAGCATTTAGTAATAGACCTTTCTGACTGTATTTTTATTCATTTAGGGAATTACTCACATAGGCTACACAGACCTTCCCAGCCGAATGGCCACTCAGGCCAGCACCCTGTATTCCAACAACATCACCAAGCTTCTGAAGGCCATCAGCCCCGACAAAGATAATTTTTACTTTGAAGTGAAAGATGATTTTGACTTTGGTACAATGGGTCACGTCATTAGAGGGACTGTAGTGATGAAGGTGAGTAGAGAGATCTGTTGCTTCCTGTGTTTTCATTCTACATTTGTTCTAGGATTTTTGTTTATGGAAGAATCCTAACTTGGAATTGAGATATATTCTAATAAAGTATCAATGTGTTGGGTTTATGTCAATAAAATTTATTTAAAAATCCAGAACAACTTAAAGAAAAATATTGCAGATATGCATGTGACTCACTTAAATATGTATTGCTTTTGAAAAATGGAAAAAAAAAACCAAACAGAAACCTCAGAATTGATTAAAGTAAAAATTAAACATTCCCCCACCTATCTGCTTTTAAGTTCTATTTTCTTCCTTATATGTTCTATGTACATACTAATTGTACGTCTATGTGTGTAATCATGACACAGCCATTATATATTTATGTGCATGTATGTGGTGCTACCTGGAGAAGGAAATGGCAACCTACTCCAGTATCCTTGCCTGGAAAATCCCATGGACAGGATCCTGGTAGGCTACAGTCCATGGGGTCGCAAAGAGTCAGACACGACTGAGCGACTTCACTTTCACTTTCATGTGGTGCTAATGGTAAAGAACCTTCCTGCCAATACAGGAGACATAAGAGAAGTGGGTTCAGTCCCTGGGTTGGGAAAATCCTCTGGAGGAGGGCATGGCAACCCACTTCAGTATTCTGGCCTGGAGAATCCCATGAACAGAGGAGCCTGATGGGCTCAAGTCCATAGGGTCACAGAGAGTTGGACACGACTGATGGAAGTGACTTAACATGCACACACATGTTATATATTTATATAAAGTGATGTTATAAATTATATGAATTTATATATTTATTTAAAATTGTTTTTCAAAGAAGAGTTTTTCTGTAACACTGAATTGACTGGATGCTGGATGGTTTAAAGAGTGCTGTTTTTTTAATTTATGTTAGGATGGCCAAGTGATTTTCCCTGCTCCCACACCGAAAAATATTCCTCAAGGAGCCCCAGTAAAACAGAAGACAGTGGCAGAGCTGGAGGCTGAAAAAGCAGCTACTATCACGCCCTTCAGGAAGACGATGACATCAGCTTCTGTCTATACAGCAGGTAAGGGTTCCTTTTATGAAGATTTAGACTTTGAATTATGACTGTATTATGTGAGTAATGTATTAACTGTCAAAGTTAGTAAATGAAATGTAGTTGTCATTCATTGGATTCTCAGGACTTGGCCTTGTTAGAAGCAGTTTTCACATGTGACATATCATCGTCCCACCTCTGTGCACTTGGAGACTGCATTGTCCACTCTCAGAGATGCAGGTACTAGGGTACATGCTGGAATGAACAAGTGAGAGATAATACATAAGCGGTTAATACTTTTCATTTATAAAAAACATTTAAAATATAATTGTTAATGTTTTTATATATATACACCAAATATAATGAGTAGTGATGTATGTCAGATTGTGTTGTTATAAAGTTCAACTAAATGTGCTTATTGATTTATTTTTTGTGGTTTATAAAACATCACTTGTGATTATCTACATCTCTGGGTAAGATGGGGGACCAAATATTTGCTTTGAAGAATAAACAAGTTATTCACCTAGTAGAAAAAATTCAGTTTTTAAGTTTTTATCTCTTTCTTTACAGTTTAACATAGATTCTTCATTTTCTAATTAATCTTCATGAAGACACTAAAGAATTGTCATAAAATAGTGATAAATATTCATTCTGGCTATGAATTGTTAGAGTTTGAAATATGGAGATTTGATTTTAAGTTGGTTTGTCTCATAGGGTGAATTAAAAATGTTTAGATCTGTGAGAGCCAAAATACAAACAAAGCAAACTATGACCGGGATGGGGAATACATGTAAATCCATGACTAATTCATTTCAATGTATGACAAAAACCACTGCAATGATGTAAAGTAATTAGCCTCCAACTAATAAAAATAAATGGAAAAAAAAAAAAAGCAAACTATAAAGAATTAAGGACCGGTACGAAGCACACAGAATTCTTGTAGCCTCAGCATTCTCCAAATTCCCATGTGAGGCCAGATGTTTTAGGCTAAATATGTAACTCTCCTTGAATAAAGAGCAAGTCTCAGCAAAATGACTGAAAAAGCCTTTAGTTGTGAACATTGTGAATAGATGGAGCACTGTCCCTATTTGCACTTATTAAAAAGAAGAAACCATATTGTTGTGTTGTACAAGGAGAGTATGGTCAGTAGGTTGTAAATTTCCATTTCTCCTTGGGATTCATAAGGAAATGTAGTGAGATATAGCAATGATTTATTTTTCTATTTTCTCTTATGTTTATTGAGTCAAAGTTTATTGCGTTTTAATAGATACGACAGTGGCATATTCCAGTGAACAAAGGGATGGCCGTCTATTTATTTTTTTGTACCCTAAAAGTTCCTCCTTTATAATAAAGCCAAGTGTTTTTCTTGAACACTTTTACCATATGTTAGAATCTATTTAACTAGCTTTCTTCAAAGAATGTGATTTGCCTTTTTCCCTTTTTTTTCTTTTTCTTTTCTTTTTCCTTTATTATAGAGACTGAATGTAGCATATTTGACATTAATGAATGTCAAATGAAAAGACTTTAGTTTATTAAATAGTTGATAAGAAAACCTTCAACTGAGGAGTTTCTATCTTAGATGGCCAACACAGTTGATTGCAGGTGATGATAACTTAGTGCTTCATAACTAATGTGGGCATTTAGTGAGTGCTAGGCATCATGCTAAACACTTCACATGCCTTAGCTCATTTATTCCTTATAAGAACTCAGTGAGTTGGGCATATTATTATTTTCTTTTTCTACATGAAGACAGGAAGGATTAATAATGTTACAGAGAATACTGGAGCATAGAGAGGTTAAGTAAGTTGCCTAAGATCATACAGCTAGCAAGCAGTAGGGCCAGAATTTGAACCAGGCAGCCTGGCTTAAGAAAATATGTCCAGATTCTGCACAGATTCTCTGATGTTTAACTGAAGCTCAAAACAATATTCTGTCTAACTCTCCCTCCAGATGGTTAACAGGCCATTCATGGGAGCCCTGGAAGCCTTATATGTGGGTAGGGAAATAAAACTGCATAAACTTTCCTAGTGGTCCAGTTAAGACTCCACACTTCTACTGAAGGGAACACTGGTTTGATCCCTGGTTGAGGAACTAAGGTCAAGGGGAACTATGCCATGTGGGGTGTCCAATAAACAAAATAAAAAAATTTTAAAACTACAGTCTTCCTGAATAATTTAAAGTAACTTGTCAGTTGCTAATGTTCCATCTATGCCGCTTGTAAAGAAATAGTCCGTATTAAGGGGAAAAAGTACCTTATTCAAGGAAGTTAAATTCCAGCATCCTGGTCACCCATTATCATTTGGTTTTCACTGACCGCTAGGTAACCCTTTCTTCTGTTGCAGAACAGCCATCCACATGTTTGCTGTTAGGAAAGGTGATAATTAAAGATGTATGTTGAGAGCTGGGTGTTTGTATTCTGCACATTCTTAATTTAATTTGTATTTTTTTCCCTTTTTCTTTGTAAAATCCTGTTTGCTGACTTGGTGTTGAGGCTGGAGCTGACTGCCCTGGCCAGCAGTCCAGTCCAGATTCAGGAGCAATTGCAAAACTTCTGTCCCGGGTGGGTGGAAGCCATATGTTTTGGGGAGGTGCTGGAGTGAATGAAACCCTTCCTACTCTTTTAAAATCCCTCTTCCTCAGCCAGATCTGAGAGTGACATGAAATGGGCCTCCCCAAAGTCTGTCTTATAAAGGTTGTGCCTTGCCCAAGTAGAAAATGCTTTGGTAGATCCTTTATAGGCCTATAATTCTGGAATAAAAACACTTGTATAAACACATGTGGCATTGTCAATGAAATTTAAAGCAGAGAAGAGGACAAGTTATGCAGAGGAAAATGTGCAAATTATTATTAAGGTGACTCATAAATTTTACTAGATGTTTACAATTTATTTTAGGGGGTGGTGGTCAGGAAGTTGAGTTTTGCTCACAATACCTTTAACTCACTTTCACCTCCCTTCCCAATCATGAAATGTCTCCAAAAAAAAAAACCTCATTATTTACAAGGGTGTGGAATTTTGAAGCCTTGACTTTGCCACACGTTTGTTTGTGTGTGGGTGTGTGTGTGCTTTTAATCCTCCTGAGATAATTGGATGTGAGCTCACACTCTTTCCTCTTTCTCCAGGTCTCACTGGGATACTAGGTTTGGGCATCGCGGCTCCCAATTTAGCCTTTTCCCAGATGGTGACCACTTTCGGCTTGGCCGGCATCGTGGGCTACCACACTGTCTGGGGAGTGACTCCTGCTCTCCACTCACCGCTGATGTCTGTGACTAATGCAATCTCAGGTTTGTTCCCCTCTTGTTTTCTCACATCTTAGGTTTTCAAGGGCTTGTTCAACTCACAGAGTGCTTTCCATGAGGTTTATAAAGTCTGTGTTTCCAAATTGTAGGGCTTGGCATCGTGGTGGTGGTTGTGGTGACTTGGGTTCCCAGAGGTAGAGGGGTGGGGTTGGAAGTAAGAGGCCAGGGAGGTGTGTCAAGCCTTTGGGCTGTTCCCATTTCAAGCAGGGCAGAGCCACTGTTTCTTCTTTCAGTTATGATTTCCTTTAAAGAAATGATTCCTCCAAAAATTTGGAAGCAGTGTTTCACAGGAGCATGATGGTTCATGCAGTAGTGTACACTGCATGAACAGTGTACATGCTCTTCCTAACACTGTTCTCTGTGGTCCCTAGCGATGGCTCAGATCTGAGGAATGAGACCCACATTGGACAGATATGGGAGCCGCCCTGGCTCAGAAACCTCATGGCCCTGGTGGGCATCTCTTGCCACAGGCATAGCTTTCAGGATCTCCACCAGTGAGATGAAAGTCGCTCAGATGTGTCCGACTCTTTGCAACTCCATGGACTGTAGCCCCGCCAGGCTCCTCTGTCCATGGAATTCTCCAGGCAAGAATACTGGAGTGGGTTGCCATTCTCATCTCCGGGGGATCTTCCCAACCTAGGGATCAAACCCAGGTCTCCCACATTGCAGGCGGATTCTTTACCGTCCGAGCCACCAGGAAATCCCCACCGGGAACAAGTTCAATTCCAAGAAGTACTCTGCTTGGGAAAGCCCAAAGCTGTGGCTCTCACCATCATATATTTTTAGTTCATGTATAGCATTTTCCAGTTCGGATGCTTCGTATCCAGCAGAGGTCCCTTTCCACCACAAACGATGTTATCTAATAACATTATTGCTTTATATCTTTCTCAGGGGAACAGAGCTAGAAAGTTCAAGGTTAAAATTCTTATGCAGAAAGGGAAAATGCTTTGTCAACTCTTTGCCCACAAAAGTACTTCGGTGAGAATGTGTATGAGAACTTTCTCCTTTATGGTGTGTGTGCTTGTGAGGTTTTCACCGATGACATTTGCTTTGGCAGTGTGATTGTTTCTATTTACCACATCCTTGCTTTCTTCCCAGGGTTGACTGCAGTCGGTGGGCTGGTGCTGATGGGAGGACACTTGTATCCTTCCACAACTTCTCAGGGCCTTGCTGCTCTTGCTACATTCATATCCTCAGTCAACATTGCAGGTAGGAGGACAGGGAAAGAACCCAGAGTGCTGTTTTTGGTGGAGACACGAGAAGCAAATATAAAATGATACATATTTGTTAAAATATTTATATTAAATATAGAAAATAATTAAGTATAAAATAAGCATTCTGATTTTAGGAATTTTATCATGCCTTAAAAAAAAATGTTTCACTCAGATTATAAATGCTCTGTGTGAAGGGGAATTGGTTATTTTTGCCTATTGGTAATTTTTAGAAACTATTTGATAAAAGAGCACTCCTATCCCTGGGTGCCCCAAAACAAACAAATAAAATGATGTGTTGCTTAAGGTTAACTGGAAGGTTATTGTATGCATAGTTTTGAATTAAGCTGACTTAGATCTATCACCATAGCATCTTTAAATAAGTATAATTTTAGATAAAACTTTAGCCTTTTGCGTTATCCTGTCCCATGTTCCTGAAAACTGAAAGCCTAGCACATGACTTGTGTATGAAACTCATTTGATGCTGTTTTGTAGCTAAAAATTCTTTAATGTGTCCAGCAGACCTAGTACCTGCTGATATGGTATTTTTTTAAATTACTTATTTTAGGGTTTAACAAATAGAATAACCTATAAGAAAAAAAATACTGGCCTTTTGATCTTTTACTTTCCTGAGCTGTTTGAAGAGCTAATTTATTTTTAGTCATGCAGAAATAGTTGGTTCTGTGCTCTGATAGCAGATTTTCTTCCTGAATGTCTCTGGGGTTCCCCCTTCAATGTAACTGGCTCAAATGATAGAATAACTTCTATTTTTGAGGTTTTAAAATATTAACTTAAAATGGTAGGTATTCCTAGATGATAAAGGTATGCTTATCATAGAAAAATTATAGCGCTTTAAAAATTATGTTGCTTAAGATACCTCTTTTTGTTTTATATTTACTTTGATAAGGTGGCTTTCTTGTGACTCAGAGAATGCTGGACATGTTCAAGCGTCCCACTGACCCTCCGGAGTATAATTACCTGTATCTGCTCCCTGCTGGTACCTTTGTTGGAGGGTATTTAGCCTCCCTCTACAGTGGTTATAACATTGAACAGGTGAGAATCTCTTTTGAAAGCTTTCAAACTTGTTTTGGTACTGTGTCTTTGTCCGAGTGAGATTACCATTACCAAAATTCTAATTTCTCTAATCAAATATAACAGTAACTCTGGAAGCATCTTGATCAAATAGAACATTCTCATTCTCTAAGAATCAGGACCCTGGATTCTAGAGACAGCTTTGCTCGCTAACTCTGCGAATATGGCTTTACCTGTTTGTCCCTACATTTTTCCACTTGTAAAAAGATTCAAGAAGGTTATAAGTGTCCTTTTTATGTACCTAGCTAGATTGTTGTGGGGATACAATGAAATAATCAGTTAAGAATTTGAAAATTTTTTATTAAAATACTGTCAGTCCTTTTCCTGTTAATTTTCTTCATCTATGGATCCGGCAGATGTTACGCCAGCGCATTTAAAAAAGAAAATTTAAAAATGAATGCTGCGTAGGAAAACAAATAATCAAGTTGAACTCTGAAAGTTCTATGTCTAAATATAATTTATAATGGAGATTCAGCTTTGTTCTAAACTCAGTCATACCTTTCTTTTCAATGACTATTATAGAATGCAGCCTCTCTGACAGCTGAAAAATCATGTCCCCCTTAGTTTCTGCTGTTTCTAACATGTATTTGTTGAACGAACACAGTCTTTGAGAAGAGTTAGAGCAGTGAGTCAGGGAGATTTATGTCAGCATCCCAGACTTGCTATTTATTGATCATTTGCCCTTAGAAAAATTATGTAGTCTCTTTAGGCATGGATTTTCTCTTTTATAAAATGAGGATGATGCTTCTTTCCTCCTGTGAATCTCATGAGACTGAGTTATAACTTATGCAATGTATATAGCATGGTCTCTGGCACTTAAAACCTCACGGGGCTGGCTCCCCGATAACATTGGGTCAGGTCTAGATCCCGTAATAACTCCATTTAAATTTAGGTACTTTTATATGCATTTGTATGCTATCAAGTCCAAAAGAGATCAGTGTACGTAAATGGTTTAATTGCAAGTACAATTTAAAGTATTTAGTATGTTAATATCCCCAATGGATAGGAATATATATTGAAATATTAAAAGAAGAGACCATATTGGTTCTTTAAAACTTGTCTGACTTTAAAATTGTCCCTCGCAATGTCTTTAGAGAATCTCGTTTCCTCAGAGGAAGTTCTCTTTAAGCTGATGGACTGAATGTTTTTGATAACCTCTCTGTTTCTTCCTTTTCCTTTGAAAAGATTATGTACTTGGGCTCCGGCCTTTGCTGTGTTGGTGCCCTGGCTGGGCTTTCCACCCAGGGGACTGCACGTCTTGGCAATGCCTTGGGCATGATTGGGGTGGCCGGAGGCCTGGCAGCCACCCTTGGAGGCCTGAAGCCGTGTCCAGAATTGTTAGCTCAGATGTCTGGAGCGATGGCTTTGGGCGGTACCATTGGTAAGCACTTGTGGGTTCTGCCTTGATATAGACCCATGCCCTTTGAACACCTGAAGGCAGGTAGGGCTCAGAGATTTAGGAATACATTGTTAGGAGTAAGAACTTTTAGTTGCACTTCAGTTTCTGAATATATATGTATCTGTTTGAAGCCCATGTTGATAAAGGAATTAAGTTGCCTTAATGGAAGTTGCTTCAGTAAATATTTTGGAAAAAGTCACACAGTTGGTATTATAATTGTCACTCAGAAATAAACATTTTAAAACATTGAGTAGAAGGAACTGTGTCACAAAAGTGGGCTAAGAAGTGCCTTTACTCAGTTCTTATTTTCCTTTACTGACTGTTCGTTTAGCTGATAATAGAACAGGAGATTAGAATGCTTGTATGTGTGTACTGTCTGTAGGTTCATGTTTTATTCTCCTGGGTTTAAATAACAGCAGACGATCCGGCTTCATACCTGTTAAAAACATGGAAAACATGTGCCAGCAGGAAAACCACTGGCTTAGTTTTATTCAGTGGTGTGTTGGGGTTGACTGTTAAATTTTCAGGAATCTTTTGAGCTGGTTGTTAACCCAGCCATTATAAAAAATCAAATTATATAAACTTAAAACTAAATAAATTAGAAACAAAGGTAATAACCCCGAACACACTAATGAATTAACTAGCTTTTATTATCCCCACTTTTGAGATTATCCATGTGTCTTATGTCTGTGAGGTAGAAATATTATGTAATATGGGCTTCTGTGCATCTCTTCCTTAATCCATATTTAATGCCATCACATTGTAGCTTCAGATCAGCCATGGCAGTTGTATTTACACCATATAAGTCAACAAATGCTACAAATCTGGGATTCATTTACTGTTTTGTTGATTGTCCAGACCTAAGAGAGTGATGGAGAAAATGTTAATGCAGTTTAAACTTAAATGTATGTTTTGTCTGTAGCCATTATATTGTGAATTGCACAAAAAAATAGAATATTCTTCTAGTATTTGGAAACTATTTTCAGATTCAGCAGAATTCCCACTCACATGGTTGACAATGAGTGAAGTTCTTATATGCATCTCATTGTTTCACTGTCATTTTATTTGTTAAAGTAAACAAAAATCTCAACCAGCATTCATGTGGAAACTATACTCATTCATCGGTTGCAAACACTAGGTTGGCTGCAGATACCAGAATTTGGCAAAAATCAACAAAAGCATTCTGTGAAAGTCAATTGGCTAGATGAAGCTTACAATAAAGAATATTGTGGGAGGTGGGAGAGGGGATCAGGATGGGGAACACATGTAAATCCATGGCTGATTCATGTCAATGTATGGCAAAAACCACTACAGTATTGTAAAGTAATTAGCCTCCAACTAATAAAAATAAATGAAAAAAAAAGGAATATTGTATATATTTTTATTTTTTGAAACTTGTGTACTACATACATTTTTATGAGTAAAAACTTATGTATTTACACACACACACTTTTTAAAAAAACTTTAAGTTGGTTTATTTAAGTATAAAATCAACAATATTCTAAGATTGGGAAGAGTAATAAAAATATATGTATAATGATGTATATAATTGTATATATCATTTTAGTGGATAAGAAAGTAATGATTTAGACCTATGCTATTAAAAAGGTAATAAAAAGATAATAAACTATATTAAAGGTAATAAAATAGGTGTTATTCATAATTTGATAACTGTATATCCCCAAGAATGATACAGGCTGAGATTTAAAAATTTATAGTAAAAATTTACATCTATTGAAATTGAAACAAAAAAGCGTCCTTTCAGAAAAGTTAAGTTCATACAGTTTTACTAGTGAATTTTTCTAAATAGTTAAGGGAAAAATGAAACACCACTTTTACATGAATCTTTTTTGAGAATAGGAAAAAGGAGCATTCTCTAATCTATTCATTTTTTTAACTTATTTTGTTTTGTGGTATAGCAGATTAACAATGTTGTGATAGTTTTAGGTGAACAGTGAAGGGACTCGGCCATACATACACATGTTTCCATTTTCCCCCAAACTCCCCTCCCATCCAGGCACACACACCTGTTTTTATCCTGGGAGGCTGGTGGTTAAATACTTAGCAGCACAGCTTTACCTTTACGTCTCCTGTTTTATTTCTCTGGGAAAGCTGTGCATACTTTCTCACAGTCCCTGGAAAGGCACTTGAAGGAAAATGCTTGTGCTGTAGGTTCATGGCAGGAAAACCTTTAGATGTGGTCTTTGCAAATATTACGAGCCCCAGTCCTCTGTACCATCTACCTGTAGCCAGGTTAACTCCAGAGTCTCCTGGTTTGGTTGTTTTCTGTTCAGATATTTGCATTTCATTACCTTTGGACTTGGCTCTCTTCTGCCCACCTTCAGGTGGGCACCTTCATTCCAGCTGTTCCTTGCGTGCTCAGGGGCAAGTGATGCCTCGTAGGGAAGGGAGCCTGGGCTGTTCATACAGTGGGGAGAATTTAAGGAGTTTAGTTGGAACTTTAAGTAATCTGAAGAAGTGTTAGTCTAGGAGAATGTTCAGAGGTTGTCAGGAGAAGTTGATGCTATGTGTTTGGGTTCTTTGGAGTTGGCATTGGTGAGGTGGTTGAAAGAATCTGCTATATGAAAGGGTATTTAAGCCAATGTTCTTTCCTGGATAGTCCCGTAAGAGAGTAGGATATAGATAAATAGTTATTAATGACAATGATGGATAACCTTAGTGTTGTCTTTTTTTAAACTGAGGAGTAATTGACATATAATATCATACTAGTTTCAGATCTACAACATAATAATTTGATATATACATATATATATCTTGCAAAATGATTGCTGCAATAAGTCTAACATTTGTCACCATACATAAAATTTTTTTTCTTGTGATGAGGACTTTTAAGATCTACTCTCTTAGCACCTCAATCTGCAATACAGCTTTATTATTAACTGTAGTCACCATGCTGTACATTTCACCCCCAGGACTTACTCATTTTATAACGGGACGTTTGTACCTTTTGATCCCATTCACCCATTCTGCTCACCCCTTACCTCCTGCCTCTGGCAGTCACCAATTTGTTGTCTGTATCTATGAGCTTGTTTGTTAGTTCAGATTCCACACATAAGTGAGATCATATGGTATTTGTCTTTCTCTGTCTGGCTTATTTCACTTAGCGTAATGCCCTAAAGGTCCATTCATGTTGTTCCAGTGACAAGATTTCCTTCTTTCATGTAGCCAAGTAATATTTAATTGTGGGCTTTATTGGATTATTTCTCAAAGGTCTGCCCTGCTTTAACTTTTCTTTGACTTCCATTTCCTGACAGGATTGACAATTGCGAAGCGCATCCAGATCTCTGATTTACCTCAGTTGGTTGCTGCTTTCCACAGTTTAGTGGGATTGGCAGCTGTGCTCACTTGCATAGCTGAGTACATTGTGGAATATCCACATTTCGCTACGGATGCAGCAGCCAACCTTACCAAGATTGTGGCCTACCTCGGTACTTACATCGGTGGGGTCACCTTCAGTGGGTCTCTCGTTGCCTACGGAAAGTTGCAGGGTAAGTGATCCAGTGTAACATGGAGGTGAATATCTATTGTTCAGGGGTGTTCAGGGGTCCATTTCAATTTCAGAAAATGGCTTAGTAGCAGAACCTATTAGGCGAAGAGTATTTGTATGACTCTGGGAAACACTATGAAAGTTTTTTTCTCAATAAAGATGGCTTCTCTTTATTGGTCTTTACAAATCTCACAAAACTTTGAAGCCAAGGCTTCTGCAGACAGCTCATGGTGGATACTAGTGCACAGAAATTTGCCTACAGGGACTAGTTGACATTTGATGATACATATGAACAAAATGACGTCTTCATAATCCTTGTTTAGAGATGCCTGTATAGCATTCACAGAAATGAACTTTATACATTTCCCAGAATAGAGAGAGGCTTATTGAGTAAATTTGTGTTATTAGTATACAGTACTTACTTTGAAAATAAATACACATTTTGGGGGTCTAGTGTGGCAGCTTTGGCTACCATTAACGCCAGCCATGAAGATAGAAGTGGAGGGGAAAAAAAAACCTCTTTCTGCTTTCAGTGTTTTCATGAAAACGTGAGTCTCTGGAAAAACAAGTTTGTGATTTAAAAACCTGATCTTGCCTCTCAGTAATCAAGTCATTACAATTAAGTGGGGAACATCATGAAACTTAAAAATCACAGAAGAGCTTAATGCCTATGATATACTCTGTCTTTAAAAGCAGCTAGCAAACAAGGACCCTTCTCCCTTGGGCTCAGTTGATAGAATCAGAAAAACAAATGGTCTAGGCCTGTTTTGAAGTTTTAAATAAATAAGACCACACTTAACTTCTGTATTGGACATCTGGGGAAGAAAAATCACTTTTCATGATTCCGTGACAAAGTGTAAAGAACTTGTATGATCAAAGGACAGTTAAGCTGAGCCATACTTTCCCCACTTCCATTAATGTTTATATGTAAGAACTCTAGTGTATGCTTTCATGTTTCAGTAGCTGGTGATACAAAGTGCTATTTTAAGTATCATGTTTTTATCCTAATATTACATTTTGTAGCTTATGATTAAATGACTTAGAGTGTTTGAGGGGATTTCTTGGGACACGTCATGCATTCTAATGGCCCCATCCTTTGCCCTAGGAATCCTGAAGTCCGCCCCTCTCCTTCTCCCTGGGAGGCACCTCCTCAACGCGGGCCTGCTGGCCGCTAGCGTGGGTGGGATCATCCCCTTCATGATGGACCCCAGCTTCACCACTGGCATCACCTGTCTGGGCTCTGTATCAGCCCTCTCTGCTGTCATGGTAAGAGGTCAGAGATGGAAAGCACGTTCTTAGTGAGGAACTAAGTATTTTATTAGGTTACAGTCTAACCTTATTTCTGTCTCATCAAGACCCCTGATGGATGTTTTAATATGCTGTTATGTGTTCATCTTCATAGAGTTTGAACAATATAGAAAAGTGTAAGAATAAAACTCCCCTTCTCTTCACTTACTCCGGTCCAGACTGTCACATGTGACACCTTTATTGCTCTGGGGTCTTTTTACTGGATCAGTGTGTCAGTCAATAGGAATTTAAAGAGCCAAGAGTTTCAGTTCTGTTCATTAGGTGCCTGCTCTGTGACAAGCCCTCTGAAATAAAACAAGTGTCAGAGAGACCCATTGGTTACTCTCACATTTGCAGGAAGCTCTGATATCAAGCCAAATAGTCATATAAAAACTGCATTTATTAAGCCCTGTGTGTTCAGTGGGGGAGTTCAGAGAAACCTCCTAGGATAGGTTGGTCTTCCTCTTCCTCTCTGGTTATTGCATTTAGTATGTGGGTACATGCAGTATTCTGTGTGTCCGTATGTCACAATTTAGCATTCTGTTATAGCAGTGTATGGCTCTGCGGTATTAGCTCTGTGTCGTTCATGGATTACTTCATGTTTGTCTAGTATACTCTTAGTGTATACTTCATTCATGAAGTTTATGTTTAAAATTTTAAAAATCATCTGTGGTGCTTAGCACAAAGTTAGACATGTAGTAATTGCTTCAGCTTAGTTCAGTCACTCAGTCGTGTCTGACTCTTTGCGACCCCATGGACTGCAGCATGCCAGGCTTCCCTGTCCATCACCAACTCCCAGAGATTATTCAAACTCATGTCCATTGAGTCGGTGATGCCCTCCAACCATCTCATCTTCTGTCATCCCTTATATGATTATTTGGCTTGATCTCGGAGCTTCCATCAAGTGTGAGAGCAACTAGCGGGCAAGGTATCTTTGACACTCGTTTTGTTTTAGAGGGCTTGTCACCCCGCAGGCACCAATGAACAGAACTGAAACCCTTGTCTCTTTAAATTCCTATTGGCCGAAACATTGATCCAGTGAGAAGACCCCAGAGCAATAAAGGTGTCACGTGACAGTTTGGACAGGATTGAGTAATTACTAAGTCACCCAAAACTATACCCTCAGATTTTCAAGCCAAATAAGATTGGGCTTGTATTTAAGTTTTAGCTGCTTTTCTTGGCACCAACAGGACCCTCCCTGCTCATCAGATAAAGTCATAAAAACTGTAACATCAACTCAGTGCTATTACTTTTTTCCAAGTGTAGACCCCTCTCCAAGTTCTGCCTGCTCACGGTTAGTGCCTCTTAGGTATTTGGGGATTTTTTTTTTTGCAGGTGGAAAACGTGGTTCAGTGTTTTTTACTTGTTATATCTGTGGGAGAGTCGGTCTGATAGGGGTCATTCCCAGGAGTGGAATTTATGTGTAAATGTATTAGTTGGAAAACTGGAATGATTATGGACCACAGTGCCCAGTGTCAGAGATTCCTTTCCAGTGCGTGAATTGTGAATTCCACTCTGGTTTTCGTACTAGGGCGTGACTTTGACGGCTGCCATTGGGGGTGCCGACATGCCCGTGGTCATCACTGTGCTCAACAGCTACTCTGGCTGGGCCCTGTGTGCGGAGGGCTTCCTGCTCAACAACAACCTGCTGACCATCGTGGGTGCGCTTATCGGCTCCTCCGGCGCGATCCTGTCCTACATCATGTGTGTGGTAAGGAAGCAGCCAGTGAAGGAGAAGGAGATACTGTTCTGAAAATCAGGACCTGTCTGTTATTTCTTTTATTTGCAGTAGAAATGACTATGTCAGTTCTTTTTCTGTCTAGCAGAAATATTGGAGTGTTTCGTTTGAATGAATTTGCCAGACTACTGGTAAAGTACCTGAGTGTAGATAATTTATAAAATTAAACATAAAGACAAAAATCTTCTAACTTCATCTGGTGATTAAAACACTTAAGATTTTATTTTCTGATTTTTTCTTTGTGTATTACAGATCTCTGTGTTACTTGTCTGGTCATATTGTATGCTGTGTGTTAGTTGCTCAGTTGTGTCTGACTCTGTGACCCCACGGACTGTAGCCTGCCAGGCTCCTCTGTCCATAGGATTTGTGTTTAATTTTTTTAATCTTCCAAGTGATAGTTTGCTGCTTATATTAACAATGCTGTTTAAATGCTGTTTTTAGGGTTTCATGCTAATCTATCATATGGATATTCAAGATTTAATTTTCCCCGCATGTTTTACCTTTAATGTGGTTTGATATTTCTTTCTCGTCATAAGCACATTTTGGCATTTCTGATTTTTGTCTTAGGATGATTCCTAGAAGTGAAAAGCTCATGTTTTGGGCTTTGTCTTCTTTTTGTCATGTGGTTTCCAGAAAGCATGCTGCAGTTTACACTCCCACTGGTCATCTGTGAGAGTGCCTATCTTGAAGTTTTGTGGTCAGCATGGTTTGAAAAAAAATTAACAAGACAAATACTTCCTAGCTTCTTTTTTGTTTCTAGTTCTCTTCTTAATGGCAAGAAGATAACCTGCAAATATAAAGTTTTGACTAAAGCACTATTTCAAATGATAGATATCATTCTCTAAATAATAGTTTTGAAAGACTGTGAAAAGACAAGCATGAAACTGGGTAAAGTCAGAATTGCATTTATACTGATTGATCACTCAGGGAGAAAAATGACTCCATCTTAATTAGAATTTTAATAGCCCTTATTTTACAACTCAGAGTTTCTCTTTATGTCTTAATTTAAAATTGAATGCTAAAATTATCTTTTCATAATTAAAAATTAGTTTTCTTTGGACATACTGTAAGTACAAAAATTTGAAAGCCTAAGTTCAAAACCAGCTGAGAGGTTTCAAAATAAAATCCTTTAAGTTGTTCAAGGAGTTTGGAAAGGTGTTTCCTATTGGAAGAGTGTCAGGCTCTGGAGTATTTTTTTTAAAGCAAATGTTTATAAAGAAGAAAAATTTATTCAGTTGTATTATAGTTTTCTTGCTTCATTTGGTAAATTTGAATGACCAGCGGGGGGCAGCAGATTGTCACTAATACAGTTGTGTCCTCTTTGCAGCCCCATAGACTCTAGCACGCCAGGCTCCTCTGTCTATGGATTTTTCCAGGCAAGAATACTGAAGTGGTTGCCATTTCCTACTACCGGGGATCTTCCTGCCCCAGGGATTGAACCCGCATTTCTTGCATCTCCTGCGTTGGCAGGCAGATTCTTTACCTCTAGCACCACCTTGGGAAGTCCCACTTAAACTTATGGTTGATGTCAAATACTAATTTTAAAATTAGATGGGAGGATTTGAATTTTTACAAGGCCAGTGGGGAGAGGAAGGGGGGATTTGTATATAGTTCTTGAGAAGTCAGCATAGGTGACTTCTAATCTTTATTGTTTTTCTCTTAAATGGTTTTCCTTGTTGCTCTTGTTCAGTCGCCCAGTCGTGTCCAACTCTTTGTGACTCCATGGACAGCAGCACACCAGGCTTCTCTTTCCCTCACCATCTCCTGAAGTTTGCCCAAGTTCATGTCCATTGCATTGGTGATGCCATCCAGTCATCTCATCCTTTGACGCCCCTTTCTCCTTCTAGCCTCAATCTTTCCCAGCATTCAGGAACTTTTGCAAACAGTCGGCTGTTTGCATCAGATGACCGAAATACTGGAGCTTCAGCCTCGGCATCAGTCCTTCCAGTGACTATTCAGGGTTAATTTCCCTTGAGATTGACTGGTTTAATCTCCTTGCTGTTCAAGGGACTTTGAGGAGTCTTCTCCCGCACCACAGTGAGGTTCTTCACTTTATCAGCAGTATTCCCCACATTTCTGTGTCTTTTATTTCCTCTCTTGTCCCTTGTTCACTGAGTTTCTTCCGTTGTTATAGTAACTATAATAAGTTTTGAAATAGCATCTCTATAGCTTTAGCTAGAATAAGGTATAAAAGGCACTTGTTGAAAGTACCCTTTTCCGCATGTGTTTCTGCAGTGACAGCGTCTTTCTCTTTGTTGTTTTTCAGTCGCGTCAGGTGGCTGAAGTATTGGAGCTTCAGCTTCAGCGTCAGTCCTTCCAATGTATTTCTGCAGTTATGTCATCTTTCTCTAAATTTTTATCTGTTCTTTCATATTTATTGACCTGTTTTTGCTGTTCTTTTCTACTTTCACTGCCTCAGGCGTGTCATTGACTGTCAGCATACCTCAGATAGTTTTTAATCCCTGTATTGTATATAAGGTTCACAAGGTCTCATAGCAGTCTGTGACCATAGAAATCACGCTGGGTCAGATTGCTACTCTGTAATAGCAAATTGTAGTAATTTGGAATCAAGAACAGTTGAAGCTTTAATTTTTAAAAAATATTATTCGATTACAAAAATAAATGATATTTAATGAAACATCTTTCATTAAGAAAATAGAAAAGGATACATAAGGATATAAAATAATCTATAATCCTATTACTGCTTAACTGTTAACATTATTCTTAATTCGTATCTTTTTTCATATGTATATGTTTAAATACATTCTATGTTAATTTTTAATTTTCTTACCAATAAATTTTACTGTCTACATATTATTATATCACAAAGATTTATCATAATTTATTTATCCAAGTCCATGATATTAGTTGTGTTTATTTATTTATTTATTTTTGCTGCAGTATTCCTTCTTAGGCATCATGGATTATTTTCTTAGATCAAATTTCTGTGAGTACAGTTACTTGACCAAAGGGAGTAAGATTTTTTTGTTCGCTGTAGATATGGATAAGTTGATCTTCAAAGGACATTCCAGTCAAAGCTCCCACCAGTGATGTGTGGGGTGCTTGTTTTACTGCTTACTGTCCATTCCTATGACTTCTTGAAAAACAAATAAGACAACAAAAACACGCCTGCCATGTTTTATATTTCAGAAGTACAAATTTCCTTTCCTTCTCAATTTTCCTGCTCTCTGACTTTTCACATTAATCTTCATTGATTCTTCGCTTTATTATAAGAAATTACTTATTTCTTATAGTAAGCAATTAGTTTATTATAATAAATGGTTTATCCATGGCTTGTACTTAGCAGCTTAGAGTGGTTCATAATAATAAAAGTGAAATAGCTCCTTGTAATTGGATGTAGTATACTATGCTGGGTGCTTTACAAATATTGACTCCGAATTCTCAAACTAATTCTGGAGGTAGGAAATATTCTCATTTTACAAGGAAGATATTTTAAGACACCATTTATTATTTGCCTTTGTGTTTGTGGAGCCTGCCTTCGCACCTGGCACATTCAAGTGAATATAGTAATTTTAAAATGAGTGTTTTATTAGCTCATTTCCCAGTTTGGAATCCTCTTCGAGAAGTTATGGTAGCAGAAATACTACCTGTTATCAATATCTGTTAATATTACTAGTACGTTGCCTTCATAATTTTATCATTTATTGAAGGAAATATCCAAGTCCAAACCAGAGCAGAGTGGTTTTATTGTGTGAGAGGGGGTGGAATGGACCCTAAGTGTAACCATCATCCTGAAAATTGAATTTTTGTTCTGACAAAGAAGCCTTTTGGGTATCCTCCGAGTATTGCTTGCTTACACAATACCCAATATTATAAAAACTAGAAAATATTGAAAGTGTCTAAATAGCCAGCTCAAATGAATGATTTGCTTTATATCCAGAGGTCATAGAGACATTAACCTCTTTATGATTTTACAGTTCACTTACTTGAGATAGTGTCCAAATTAGGGCTTGGGATATAGAAGGCTTGCAAAAATGCAACAGCATTCTCAGACTAAATTCTCTGATTTTTGTACTTTGCTGCTTGTTTCCAAATGAAAATAAAGCAGAATGAAGTAAATGAAAGCCAAACCAAAAATAATTTTTTTTGCCTTGTGATCAACTAATTAGCACCTACAAAGCATTGAAACGAGGAGATGCTAGTCAATGGTATACATGTTATTATTGCTTTGGTTTTATTTATTTTATGACCTTCCTTTGTTTTCATATTTATTTCTTAGTTTGCTTGGAATTATGTGAATTAAGGATCTCTTTAATGTAGCATACAATTTTCATTATTGGGCTTAATAACTTAAAAGGAACAGTCCTGGACAGTGTTGCAAATGCTTTGTCTTGGAACTTGGGAACTCTTCAGGCTGTGGATCAGTGGTCATAGGGTAGTCTCATCAGTCACTTAAGCAAGCAAGCAAAAAAAATAAATAAAAATAAAAAAAGGAAACAGAACAAAGCCCTAAACCCTAAACGTTTGTTGGAAATATGATGTTGCAATGGTAAATTCAGAGATGAAGATTGATTTAGTTTTTAGGAGACCACATGGAATTAGTGTAATGGTGATATAATTGAGGATATGTGTTTAACAAGTTGACTTTGATTGTTAAATTACTGTGTGGTTCCCTATATTTTTCTTGTAAGATACCATCAGAAGTGGGTACACACTAATTAAATATTCTCAGAAATTCTTTCCTTCTTCATTCAGCTTTATAGGAAGAAAAGAAGGGTTCCTTTTAAGCCAAGTGAGAGTAAATTGGTCATATCTTCTACATCATATTCCTCTGTCATCTGTCTGTTTATAGGACTATGTGATCCAGGTGATGGAGCCTTTTTGTATGTTTCACTAAAAGAAAATTATAGCAGAAATATTTTAGTGTTTGAAATTGTTCTTTGAAACCATTTTTAAGGGCAAAAATTGATAGAACATATTTCTAGTAATTTAGTTTCAAAATCCTGTGATTCAAAACTGGAAAGGATTTATAAAAATCAGCAGATGTTGAATGTTTGGGAAGTCTCTGATATGGCTGTTTGGATTTTCATTCAACCTTGGATTTAAGTTGAAGAGGTTGTGTTAAGAATTTGAAACATCATGTTGGATTAGGATGAAGAACTTAAAAGCATCACTTTAATTTTTCTCTGATCCTCTTATCTGTTAGTAATATGCATAAGGATATTCTGAGCTTTATTTTATATGTAATAATCTTAGACAAATTTACCAGACTCTGGGCTCTGTAAATGTGAATGTCTGATAAATGAGGTTAGGTCAAAGGAGCAACTTAAAAATTCTGATGTTTTGACCCACATCTTTGAAACATAAGTGAGGCTCTCATCTTCTCTTCTCTTTTCCTGCCTTTTCTCTGTCCCACTTCAGCAGTTTATGTAAATCTCTCTCCTAAGGTGGTAGCAGGCTGGCCTATCTTTGGATGAGTTGTTTGTTTTTTTTTTTCCTCTGATGTGTTACTTATCGCTGAAAGTCTCCAGATGCTTTTTCCTCTTAATAGTAAAGGGTTGTCTTTTTAAAAAAAGTATAGTTTGACACTTGTATAGCTTTAAAATAGTATAAATGATGGATCAATGATATGTTTATTAAAACCCTTAAAATAAGATTTAATTGTTTGGAATTTTTTTATGAAATGATATCAATTATGATCATTTGGGATGACTACTTTGATCATGTATAGTGTTGAAAATGCTTTTGATTACTAAAAACATTCAGCTTCTGGTCTTTTATTTCTATAATTTTTTTCTTTTTACCACCACACCTCTCAAGATCTGCAGACAGTTTTCAAACACATTATTGTCATATGGTCCAGTTGTGTTTGTATTACATTGTTCAGTACAGTTGCTCAGTCATGTCCGACTCTGCGACCCCATGAACCGCAGCACGCCGGGATGGATGATTGTAAATGAGCATCCAATAAATGCCTCCCACTTATTTTTTCCTTAGATGATTTTTCTAGTTAAAAGGTGGGTGTAAATTTTAGTGAAGCAGGGTATAAACTTCGTCATTTTCCTTTTTGGAAGTGAACTACTTAAAAAGGCTAATGATGAATCCAGTCACTTCTGTTCTTGCTTCTTGGAGCTGTCGGTGCTTTGGAAATTGTCAACTCCTTCACTTTTTTTTCTTGACGGCAGAGGGCAGCAGACTTCTAAATGATAGGGGTCTCTATCCTTTGATTCTTCCCTGTTGCCTCTTAACAGCTTGAACTTGTAGCAGAGTTCACCTGAGATATCGGTAGGTAGAGTCACCCTGTAACATTTCTATAGCCTTCATTCTCTTTTACTCAGGTGAAATACATGCCGATATGGAGATAGCACTTGCTTAGTCAGTCCACGGATAAGAATGCCTAGGTCAGGGTCTTTAGGCCTTCCCTGGTGCCTCAGATGGTAAAGAATCTGCCTACAGTGATGGAGACCCAGGTTTGATACCTGGGTCCGGAAGATGCCATGGCAAAGGGAATGGCTACCCACTCCAGAATTCTTGCCTGGAGAATTCCATGGGCAGAGGAGCCTGGTGGGCTACGGTTCATGTGGTTGCTAAAAGTTGGACATGACTGAGCAACTAGTACTTTTTTAATATATATGTTAAAGTCACTAGTAATTTTCCATTAAATGCTTTTCTAAAATTTATTTTGATGGAAAATATATCAGTGTGAAGTTGATTTTGTAGAAAACAATGATGTGATTTCCCAGATGTCTTTTCATCATTTAAAATTTTGAAATAATTTTCAGACACTCGATCAGATTTATTTGGTTAAAATGTTTTAGGTGATCAAGTAAACGTCTTTTAATTGACTCTGTCGTATTCACAGAAAATTTATGTGGATTAAATTTTCACAGCTGATAATTTTGCTCTCCAGGCAATGAATCGCTCCCTGGCTAATGTGATTCTTGGAGGCTATGGTACCACTTCAACAGCTGGTGGAAAACCCATGGAAATTTCTGGCACGCATACAGAAATCAACCTTGACAATGCAATTGACATGATTCGAGAAGCTAATAGCATTATTATTACTCCAGGTAAAAAACCAAAACCCGAAAGCAAACAACCTATAATCACTTAAAGTAATTTCTTATAATAGGAAAAATCAAGTTGGAACTTACTCATTTTTGAAAATATAATGGAAATTGAGAAACAACCCTGTGACTACTAAGTGAATAGTACTGAGAATTCTTGGCTTAGGTTAATCATTTGGGAATCATATAGAGATTTTATAAATTGAGGTAGTGGATTCTACCTGTGTTTTTCTGTGATTCAGTACAAAATATTTAAATCATCTTTGAGTCTTGGTTATTTTTTTCCTCATTGATAAATTTTGGGCTTATGTCAGGATTAGATAGTATATGAAAGTGTTCAACTCACTCGTTAGACTCAGTAAAGGTTGGTAAATGTTAATATCTTTCTTTCTAAAAGTAAATACTTAAAATAATCATTGAAAATCATGTGATTTCCAACAAGATGAGGTAACAAGTCCAGTAGAAAGGACTTGGTCTAGAAGTTGTAACACTTCTGTTTTTCATTTTGCCTCTAGTAATTGACATGTGGCCCAAGTCAGTTTGTCTCCCCAAGCTTCAATTTCCCAATTTCCTGAGACTTAGCCCAGTACTTCTTTACTCATCAAAGAATGCCATTGCATTCATTACCGGCAGCACATTGATTTCAGATTAGGATTTTAACTCTATCATGCTATCATAGAAGTTTTCTGTAAAGAAAATCAATTCATTTTGTCATGTGGGTAGTTTGTTGGTTGACTGTGTGCTAAGATGTAAATAACAAACATTAGCAGAACTGAAGCTTCAGGTGACAGTCTTCTCAAGTGGGGGCAGCATTATTTTTCTCTGGGCCTTTGAAACACATGGATTTGGGGATTTGGCTTCTCAAAGATGGGGCTGCCGTGTGTGGGGGAGCAGGTAAACCAAATATGCTCTGAGCCTCGGCCCTTCCTGCAGCATGGTTTCTCCCAGCCAGAGTGCATTGGTGTTACCTGTTGAGAAACACTGTCCTTGGGTGTGAAAGTGGAGAGTAAAGGACATACTCTCTTCCCTTAGGCATTTTCCATCTAGTGGAGAAGTCAGATCAGTAAATACTGCAAGATGGGTTATGATAAGGGCTGAATTGGACAATGTAGGCACGTTTTTCTATCACGGGGAACCTAAGTATTGTTGGGAAGTCAGGATTTGTGTTGGATCCCAGAGGGTGAATAGTATTGGGGTGGGGGAGGTAGGGGGAATACCTTGAGCAGAGATCGGTCTTTGGAAAAATGAGGGTAGGAAAGTGGGGATAGATATGAAATTCACTGGAAAGGGTGGAGGGACAGAACACAGGGGTTGAAGGAGACGGGAAATGATTGATGTTTTTGGTCATACTTGGAAGAACATCAGAACTATGGAGCATTTTTTTTTTTTTTTTTTTGCAGAGGGGGACAATCTTAAGTTCTTATTTGGAAACATTAAGTTTGCAGTGGAGCTGGGACAGTGGACAGGCTGAACCAGAGCTCAGTGTTGGGGGGGCCTGGAGGCAGATTGGGAGCTGTCAGGCAGTTGTTGGGGTTACCCTGGTGTCTCAGACAGGAAAGAATCTGCCTGCAATGCAGGAGACCTGGGTTCGATCCCTGGGTCGAGAAGATCCCCTGGAGAAGGGCATGGCTACCTGTTCCAGTATTCTTGGTTGGAGAATTCCATGGTCAGAGGAACCTAGCGGACTATAGTCCGTGGGGTCGCAAACAACTGGACCTGACTGAGCGACTGATATTTTTTTACTTTCAGGAGGTTGTTGAAGCTGTGGGAGGGGCTGAGGTTTTCCAGGGAGAGAGTGAGGTGCAAAGTTAAAGTCCTGGGGAGAGTCAGGATTTAAGAGTGGCAGTACAGAAGGAAAAGATCTGTTCAAGGAAATCGAGGAAGAATAGTGGCAAAGTCAGGAGGGTTACCAAGGGACGGCAGTGATCTCAAAGCCAAGTAGGGTGACAGTTTGAAAACATTTGTGAGAGCAGGTGAGAGTGTGTACACCGTGCATGTGTGTGCGTGCGTGTGTGTGTGTGTGTGTGTGTGTGAGTGATGTGGGAGGGAGTGCCCAGCACTGTTAGACACTGTAGGGGACAGAGGAGGGACCATGAGATTTTGAATTTGAAATTTAGGCTAATATTTTTGTAAGTCCATATTGTCAGTTTTTTGTTTTCACTTATAGTCCTGTTAACTGATTGCCCTTTTTGGCATAAAAATATGTTTCAATCAAGACAGAAATTGTAGTTCATGCAATTTGAAATAAAACTGCATTCTTCTGTATTCTCAATGCTCCTGTAGGCTATGGTCTCTGTGCAGCCAAAGCTCAGTACCCCATTGCTGATTTGGTGAAGATGCTCTCTGAACAAGGCAAAAAAGTCAGGTAAGTGCTTGCTAGGCATGTGTGAAAGGAAAGGAAGAGAGATGACTTCCTTTCAGGTGACTGTTTCTTCAAGTGGGGTTTTACCTGTGATACTAGGTAGAGAAAGTTGTGAAAGACCCTGTTCTAGCCTTAGTCTTACTTCCTAGTTTTCACTGTCTCTAATAGCATCCAACTTCAGTATAGTCTCATTTTAGAAAAGGAAATTTTTATGGTACTACATTCCAGGATATTTATCAGTAGGGAAAAATGGAAACCTGGTTTTTCTGTGGTTTGACTTGGGGAAGGAGGTCATCAAGGCATCTGAGTCCCATCAAGCTGTGTCTTTTGGGTTTCTGTTGTTCACACAGAAGGAAAACATCTCAAACAGGGGGTCTCCGAAAGGGTGTGAGCCCAAGTGGTGAACCTGTGACTGGTTAATAGTCGATGGATTTAGCTCTCACACTCGGGCTAGAAAAGACTGCAGAAAACTTTCTTTTTCTATGTATGAGATAGATAATAAAGCCATCCACTTTTTTTTTTGTTTTTATTTTTCCATTTATTTTTATTAGTTAGAGGCTAATTACTGTACAATATTGTAGTGGTTTTTGTCATACATCGACATGAATCAGCCATGGATTTACAAGCCGTCCACTTTTTGAACTGTGAATTAGAACGGCTCCTGTTGCTGCTATGTGCTGCTTGGGCCCTGGACTCTGCTATTGGCTGGATGGTTATTAAGCAGAATGTGAAGTCAAGGACTCTGCATTTCTAGATTATTCCCCCTGACCTTGGATAAAGGGTTTGTGGTATGTGAAAATGGGGTCAGGGTAGTGAGCCCTTGCAGTACGTTATGTCTGTCCTGTGTACCTTTGGGTCCGCCTTCTGGAACTCTGCCGTCGGGAGGCAGTGAAGGGGCTGGTTGGAGTTGTCCATGGGAGCATAGCTGCTGCGTGTCGTGTGGGGAGACTGGTTCATTAGCAGTTTCACTGACATGGAAGTCAGAGCAACAGGATAACTCTATTGTTAAATAAGATTGGTTCGTTTACCAAGATGTCATTGCATATTGACAAAACTATTTATGTCTGTTAATAAAATTCCTTTGAGATGTCAATCTTACACTTTTGCCTGGAGGACAATGATAAGAAAATAAACCAAACAGAGTGCCTTGAATTAGTCAGACTATCTGTGCAGACTCGACGCAGAGTCTGAATCTTTAGCTCAAATGTCGCTGCTATTAATAGCAGTAGAAGAGACTTAGGTGATGAAATCAAAGGGTTATCTAAAAAGTTTTAACGTCAGCTGCATCTTCTTTCTTTCTTCCCACCCTTTTTTCCTTCTCTCAATCTTTTTCTCACTCTCCACCTTCCTGTGATCTGTAGTGAGTCTGTGCTTTTTAAATACACAGAATCAGAATACTATTTTATGATAGGTTCAGCATTGCTGTCGTGTAGATGGCTTCCATGTTTAGTAAAGTCTAAGATGAATTGATAGAAAATGAGAAAAGGCATCATCTTTGTTTTCTAATTTTCACATGAGAGGTCTCATTTTGGTAGCTTATTCTTCTTTTCTAGAGGGTATTAAATGGGGCTTCCCTTTTAGTTGTAGTCTTTGCCACTTAAAGCATTTGCAGGCCTAGAAGTGGAAAGGATGTGTTACAGAATCTTTTATGATTTTCCTAAAAAGAATTTTTTTCTCTTTATTTGATCCACATGTGAAAAAGTATCTAATGTATTAGTGATGCCTCCTATCACCACATAAATGTTTAGGAGATGAGTGGCAATCATAATAAAACAGAAAGATGGCTTTCATGTCTTAGTTATTCTTAGGGAAAGGAATGATTAATTTGACATAACCTCTCTTGTTACCCACTGGTCAGCCCAGGTTGTGGGTTCAAGGATGGGAAGCTTGACAGAAGGCAGGATGTGAAAGGTAAGGAATATAGAGAGAAAGGGGAAAAAAATCAGGGATAAAGAAAAGGGATGAACCCTGTGAAGTCGCTCAGTTGTGTCCGACTCTTTGTGACCCCATGTACTGAGGAGCCATCTCCTCAGTCTATGGAATTTGCCAGGCAAGAGTACTGGGGTGGGTTGCCATTTCCTTCTCCATGGGATCTTCCCAACCCAGGAATCGAACCTGGGTCTCCCGCATTGGAGGCAGACGCTTTATCCTCTGAGCCACCAGGGAAGCCCAAAGAAAAGGGATAAGACAGGAAATTTTAGCTCCTGACCTCATTGAAATTTGAATTTTATCCATGAAGATATAATGTAAAGTGCTGTTTCAGGAGGATTTCTGTCACACTGCATTGAAAAATAACTATTTGACTTAAGATTTCTGGCAGGTATTTAATTAAACATGTATGAATAGTTTCTTAGTCATAATTTTTTTTTAATTGAAATAATTTTGGGACTTGCCTGGCAGTCCAGTGGTTAGGAATCTGCACTTCCACTACAGGGGACTCGGATTTGATCCTCGGTTGGGGAGCTAATCCTGCAAGCCACATGGCACAGCCCCCCACAAGAAATAATTTTGTGACCAGAACATCAGGCTTTTCATGAGAGCTTTTAATCATTTTGTATAATCATTGATTTTTAAGATGATTTGTTAATAGTAAATGCTAATAATATATTATGTGAATGATATTACTTGTCAGCCTAATTTCTACTTTAAGTTAGGAAGAGTTAGCCACTTACATTGATTGCTCTGTTTCATATTAAAGATGAAATTATATATTAATATGTTCAATTTTTTTCCTTTTTTACTATAATGAATTTTCAACATGGGCTTTGTAGTAAGTTATATAAGTCTTACATTTGTATTAAATGGAAGAGAGTTTTTCTTGCTAACATGGCAGTAGATTATCATATTTTTCCTTTTTAGCTTCCATAGGAGTTTTTTTTTTTTAATTTTAAAGGGAATCGTGGCAACTTTGTTGATTCTGCTTTATGTGCGTCATCATCTTTCTGTAGCAGAAATGCAGATTTTCTTTACGAAGTTAGGTGCTGGCTTTTTCTTAAGAGGCACATGTCTGTTTGAACAAGAGATGGCTGCAGCGGTTACCTCGTCTTTTAATGAAATAAATCTGTATTTACAGTTTGCGGTAATTTGGTCCTTTCATCACTCTGAGGAGCTCCCACGGTGTTCATTGAGCACAGCTGCTGGGCCTCTGCTGTTAGTAGATCTTCGTGCCTCAGGACCCCGGCATGCCTCACATCCAGATGTGGTGACATATTCTCACACATTCCTCATGGAAATGTGCCAGTGAGGACATACGATTGTCATCAATTAGTTATGCCCAAGTGGTGCCAAGAAAAATCGCATCTGTCATACAGTCTGTCTGGCTTCATGGCCTCTGATTGATTTAGAGACACTCCTGTTTTCCTTTACTTTGACCATAGTCATAACATGCTCACAGAGAGCTGAGGTTATATAGTGAAGCGCATGACATTTCATGAAAAGAGCTCATTTCAGAATGTCCTGGAAGGTCACTGACTTAGCCATCTTTACTGGCCAGGATATTGTTGCTTCCTGAGCACCCAGAATACCTAACTTATGCTTGATCTCTGAAAGCATTTTATTGTAAAAATCTTATGATACAAAAGCACAGACATTTTTTTCTCTTCATTTCCCAATCTTTGGGTCAATACAAGCTTTTCATTATAAAACTGAGTTAGTGTTTCCAACAAATAATCCTTAGAAAGACATATTTTTTTTTCTTTTTGCAATTAATTAGTCACTGCTTGATTTTCTTTGTGTAAAGCATTATCACTTTAAAATTTGTCAACTTCTTTGATTGGCTAATTGATGTTATATATGGCTTTCCTGTTAATGTTCAACTCTGTCTATTAATAATTTGCTGATAGAAATTTATTTCTAGGTACTGAGAATACAAGAATGCAGAAGCTCATTTCCCACTCTCAAAAGTTTATAGACAGAGAACAAATTGATCAACAAATGAACGCATGAATGAATTCCATTTAATGTACTAATGTGCTAAGAAGAATGGAGTAGGAGGAGGGTAGGAAGGCAAAGGACAAGAGTAGATAGCTGTCAAGGGAATATTTTAAACCTTTTATTCTACTCATGACATGAAACTTTTTTGCAGGTTTTAAATAATAAATAATTATTTTTTTCATCTTCTGTCTAAACATATCTAGCTGCCAGTGGTATTTGCAGCTTAATAGTGTTTTATAGTCTTGTGTGACATGACTATAAGTTTAAATGTATGTTATTTTTGCTGGGAAATCTATTTTCTGAAGATACTTGAAGATGAAATATTTTGTTGATCTAAGTGGATTTTCCCGTTTTTCATGGATTAAATGCATTCCAAATAAACAGAGTCCAGCTATCTTGGATTTGTTACATTTTGGGGTGCAGGAAAATCTAGGACATGCAGATTTGTTAAGTAATAAAGGTGTGTGCTTCTGAAGAGAATAGCGGTTAGGGCAGATAAAAAGATCCAGTGTAGTAGTTGAGGAAGGAAATAGATATTTTTTATGAGTTTCTTGCCAGCTTTGCATTACTTTCTTATTAGCCATGATTATTCATGTCAGTGACCATTTCACTGTACAAATAATTACATAGTACTTGGTGCCAGGCACTGTTGTAGGTTCTGAGAATACATTAGCGAATAGAAAGATCAAAATTCCTGACCCATGTGGAGTTGACATTTAAAGAGAACTTAGTTAATAGGTGTTAAGATGTTCTGAATTGACACTTATAACCCTACTGTGTTTTCAGTTAAGTCACTAGTTGAAATGATGAACAGCAGGAGCATTGATCATTATATCAGAGTTTCCACTGGCACTCTTTGGTGATGAATTAGCCAGTACTTCTGGTTTTCTGAAAGAATATACTGTGTTTCTTTGCACTGAGCCTGCCTTCTTATAAAACATGGTGACAGGAGGATGGGTGATGGGAATTATTTGTGTGATTAGTCAAATGAGTGAAACTTTTGGTAGAAGAGAGGAAAACCAGTGTGTGTGCATTCACTTATATCTCTGGTCAACCTGCTGTATAAAATT